GAATAGTACTGGTGGTCAGAAAAGTGGTCAGAACATCAACAAAATGAAAAGGTCTCGATCAAAATGCAAATATGAAGAGATGTCTCGGTCAAGAATCAAATGCAGTGTAGAAAATGTATGATTGACTGAGGGAAATGCAATTAGTTTTGTATTTTGAGTTTTAAAAATGTGAGATGACCATGTGAGAGTGTTTTGGTGCGCGTGGCTAAAAACCTGACCGAGTGACAGTGGTCACTTCGGTCAAAATGTTCAAAACAGTGGTAAATATGATTTGAAAGTACTGGAATGAGTACAGTAATGTATATTTATGAGTTTTTCAATTTTCTAGGGGGATTTGCAGTGCAAAAAATTAAAATGAGAACCTAGCTACACTTAAACTATTCTAATCTTATGCTAATCTATGACAGAACCTAAAGCAGTGTAGTAAAATCTATCTAAACCTAAAACTAAGCTTCTACAGAGATTAAAGCAAGTAATCAAAGCAATAAAACCTAACCGCCATGACTGTAAAGCAATTAAAACATCAAAACGAGTAAAGTCAAAGCAGTAAAATGCAGAAAATTAAAGAAAGCAAGAACAAGAACTATCACTACAAGAAATATTAAAATTACAGACGGTCAAAATCCGTCAGTAATAACAAAAATCCGTCGGTAATAATTTTATTAATTATTAAATATTTTACTTATTTATAACATTATTTTTTTATAGAACCCCTCCCCCTTATATTCTTATTATTTATTATTAATTATTTCAATTATTACTCCATATTATATTTTTATAACTTTGAATTATTGTCAGATTAAGAGAAATGTCATTGGCAGGATTTGAACCCAGTACCTTAGAGTCGAAGTCGATACTCCAACCACTAAGCTACTAGAATTTCTTGATAACAATTTACAAATAAATTATATTTATATACAAATATATAAATACATTTATATATATTTATATATATTTATATATATTTATATATATTTATATATATTTATATATATTTATATATATTTATATACATTTATATATATTTTTTTATATATTTATATATATTTATATATATTTATATATATTTATATACATTTATATATATATTTATATACATTTATATATATATTTATATATATTTATATATATATATTTATATATATTTTTATATATTTTTATATATTTTTATATATTTTTATATATTTATATATATTTATATATATTTATATATATTTATATACATTTATATATATTTATATATATATATATATATATATATATATATATTTTATATATTTTTATATATTTTTATATATTTATATATATTTATATATATTTATATATATTTATATATATTTTTATATTTATATATATATTTATATATTTATATATTTTATATTTTATATTTATATATATTTATATATTTTTATATTTTATAATTATATATTTATATATTTTTATATATTTTTATATTTTTATATATTTATATATATATATATATATATATATATTATATATATTTATATATAATTAAATATTTATTTTTAAAATTACTTAATTTAATAAATTATTATAAATTAATCTAATTATGATTAAATTAAATTATTAAATAAAAAATATTTTATTTTTTAATTAGTGAATAATTAAATTATATTATATAATTTTACCGACGATTTATCCGTTCGGTAAATAATTTTTAATTTACATATGAATTTACCGACGGATATATCCGTCGATAATTACTTGTTAATTTATCGACGGATTTACCGACGGATATATCCGTCGGTAAATTCATCTATAAATTACCGACGGATTTATCGACGGATATATCCGTCGGTAACTAGTTATTATTTTACCGACGGATATATCCGTCGGTAACATCAAATTTCACAAATATTTTATATCCGTCGGTAATTTCCGTCGGTAATGATTATTTTCCGATGGCTACAATTCCGTCGGTAAATATCCGTCGGTAATACGCGATTTTCTTGTAGTGTATGAACATGATTCGATGTAAGCAAGATTGCAAGACTACTGCGTTTTTTACACTGTGAAAATCTAATTAATCAATTAAGCATTCACCATACAGTTCAACAAAGTGATTGCAAACTTTAATCCTCAACCGAGAGACATCCACAAGCTAAACCAAGTCAAGAACACAAGTCTAGAATAATTTGTCACATGCGATTCAATTTCACAGATTTTGTTCGGTAAAAACCTAATCTAATTCATGAATTCAGTAAAGGAAAAGCAATAGAAAGAGTAGAAGATGAAGATCCAGAACCAACTCATGAAAAACAGTGAAGAAAACGGAACACATACATGGAGAGTGTGATGCAAGCAATGAAGAAACCCATGGAGAGAAGCTTGAGCGTGAGAGAGAAAACCAGTGTAGAGAAAATGCGATTTTGATTGATTCTGAATTCTAGAACTTCGACTACTTGTTTCTACATTAAGTTAATCTAATATAAGCTTTAACTAATGTGCAATTACAAGTTACAAGGCCCATAACCGGAGATAATTCAATAACTTGAGAGAGATGTTGAAGAGTCGCGTTATTTTTGCTTCAGTGCAGTACCGCGTAATTCAAACACTTACAGTTTCTTCAATACTTCTTCAAATTAAACTCTTTTGGTCTCTTTAGAAAGCTTGTTAAGTTAGATTTCAAACGCCACCATTTTTACTAATGTTGGCGGTCTAATGAATTTAGGATAATTATTTACGCATGCCCGTTGGACCGACTCTGTGCGCATAACCTCTCTTTAATAATTTATATAAAATTCAATTTAGCACCAAATTGAGTGGTTCTTGATCCTATGGAAATCTGAATTTGTCTAGTTTTCAATACTTTAAAAATCATGATTTTAGAAGCTCTGTAGAAAAAATGATAAATAAAATAGTAAACTAATGTCAATACCAGTATATAATAAAATACAGACTAATTTATTATTTTTATGCAGAATTTTATGTTAAGGCTTCTAAAGCCTAGTAATACAAATTATAGTTAATTAAGCTTTATTAACATATTATAAACAATAATATAACATTATTAACTACTTAAAATGTGCTGAAAATCAGTCACATCAATGATCTTCTTCTTGATAGAACCATACAACTTATATGCACTAGTTACATGATATCCTACGAAAATCAACTTTTGGCTTTTATCATCGAGTTTCTTAGTCCTCTCATCTCGAACATGTTTCCAAGCAATCAAGCTAAATATTCTCAAGTGTTTTTATATTTGGATTTCTCCCATACCATACTTTCTTTGGTGTTTTCTCCTTTACTCTCTTCATTGGACATCGATTTAAAATATATACAGTTGTCGGTTCCGCTTTTGTAAAAAACGAATGTGGTAAGCCTTTGGTTTTCATTATACTTCTAACCATATTTAAAATTGTTCGATTTCTTCTTCTCAAAGTTGCTTTCATCAACACACTGATGAAGGTAAAACATAACTTTGTAATCACGTTTCTTTTCCTCTTGTAACGTCACACGATGTGCCTCGAAGGGGTTCTCTGGTAGTCTCTTATATCCATTCAGAACTATGTTCAAGACTTCTTGAAAACAAAAAAAAATAACATTCATCTTTACACACCAACTATCGTACTCATTGATGTTCTTGCTGTCAAGCATTGACATGTTGTCATGTAACCCAGTTCCAGCTATCATCATTCTTCTTCTTTTTAAATCTTAAAGTTCTTGATACCACTAAAAATGAGTCTAAAATTAAATATGGAGAGAACACCAAAAGAAATATGTATACTGAATTATACAATTACACTACATATATAGGGATATAATATTTAAAACAATACTAACAAACCTAATTAAAATAATTATTATAATATTGTTAAATTATCATTTAATACTAATATAAAATGACAAAATTTATTAACGAAGATTTTATGTGATTCGTTATTGAAAAATGCATATAACAATTTTAAAATGTTTATAATCATCGTCATGACGATAATTATAAAGCAAACCGCAATTGTCCAAAACACTAACATTTTAACAACAGACTCGTTCATGATTTGTAGTTGTCAACGCAAGGTGAAAAGTGAAAACCGAATTGCAAGCGTCACGCTTCTCACTTTCTCACTTTTCATCCAAATATTTTTCATTTTATTAATTAATATCAAATAATTCAACCAACCATTCCTTTCAAATCTTCTTTAGTAACAATGTCCTTGCAATAAACTTACTTCCTAGCATTTTTGTTATAGGAATACCATAATTGTTGAAAAAAAGAAGAAGCCAGAAACCAAAGATTAAAAAAACAAATAAAACCTATTTGATCGTTTCCTAAGGGATTGATTGTACACATTAATAACCTGTTTCATTTGAAATAAAAATGATTTGAATGGTTTTTATTTTTCATATTTCAAATCAAAATCATAAACTAAATTAGCTTGCTTGGTGCATACATCTCTTCATCATTTACCACTTGGTATCATCATCAAATATCACGTGCACTTGATTTTCTCCCTTCAAGTGTGTTATGGTCTAAGTTGCTTCTACTTTAAGCTAAAGTTGGTGTGAGTGTCTTATGGCCAAAATAATTGAAAAGCACTTCGATATGGTTAGTTTTGAGTCCATTTGCTCTATTATATTGTAATAATAAAATAAAATATAAAATTGTAAATAAATAATTAAAAAAATCACAGTTAATTAAATAAAAAGAGTAAGGCTTTGATTTCACTTGAAGTTGTGTGGCAGGAGATTTATATTTAGGCTAAAAAAAATGGAAAAGAAGGGAGAAAAAAAGTCATCTAATTTAAGTGCCGCTTGTCCCCTTCAAGCGCAAATAAACCCTCTTCTCTCTCCTTTCCTCTCTCACCGCGACTCCACTCAAAACCACAACTTCTCTCACTTTTTTCCTCGAACTCCTATACTTTCTCACTCACTAATTTTCTTCACTTCTCTTCTCTTCTCTTCTCACCTCCTCATCTTCAAAAATTTTCTTCATAAAAACACAAAACAAAAAAACCTCCTCTTCTTACATTCTTGCCATGGAGTCACCCAACTCTTCCCCAATTTTCCCACAATTCACCCTCGACACCAACAAGAACAACAACCCCGACCACTTCATCGTTGAGGACCTCTTGGATTTCTCCAACGACGATGCTGTCATCGCCGACTCCATTTTCGATTCTCTCCCCGTCAACTCCACCGACTCTTCCACCGTAACCGCCGTTGACAGCTGCAACTCCTCCTCCTTCTCCGGCTGCGACCCCCATACCATTCCCGACATTGGTAGCCGGAGTCTCTCCGATGGCCATTTCTCCGGTGACCTATGCGTACCGGTATTAAATATTATATTACTTATATCATAAAGTTGTAACATTATTATTATTATTATTATTATTATTATTATTATTATTATTATTATTATTATTATTATTATTATTATTATTATTATTATTATTATTACTATTACTATTACTACTACTATTATTATTACAATATTAGCTATTACTCCATTTCAAAATCAATGATCTCACAACCTCAGAACATAACCCATGGTAACGCACAGAGCCTGAATTTCAATTCCACCATCTTTATTTCCCTTAAAATCGCTAACTTGTGTAAACACATGCATTTAAGGAAAAGCTTAACAGAATTTTCCACATTTCACGTTCCAACAACTACTTTTCTTGCAATGATTCTTTCAATTATTACAAATTTTTTCAACATATTGAAATTTATTAAGTGGCTATAATATCAACAAAATGAGTGCAGCAATTAACTGCTACACAAGCTAAAACGACCCTGCAATAGAAGTTAATTGTATATTCTATGTAATGAAAAATTAAGAAATTATATTATTATATTATTACGCAATATGAATAATTTAGGGTGGAGAACATGGAGCTAATGGTTATGTCATCGAAAATTTGAAAGCAGTATGATGACATAGCGGAGCTAGAATGGCTTTCGAATTTCGTGGAGGAATCGTTTTCGAGCGAGGACCTGCAGAAGATGCAGCTGATATCAGGCATGAATGCCAAAAACGACGACGTGTCAGAGGCCCGCCGGTTCCACTCCGAGCCCATAAGAAGCGGGATTAACTCTGAGCCCACTAGAAACAACCCCATATTCAATTCGGAAGTGTCGGTTCCGGCCAAGGCCCGTAGCAAAAGGTCCCGCGGGCCTCCATGCAACTGGACCTCGCGCCTCCTCGTGCTGTCTCCGACGACGTCGTCGTCTTCAGACCCTGAGGTGGTGGTTCCCGTCCCCACTCCTCCCGGGCCGGTCGTGCCAAAAAAACCGGCAAAGGCGACACAGAGGAAGAAGGACAGCGGGGACGGAAGCGGCGGCGACGGGCGCAGGTGCCTGCATTGCGCGACGGACAAGACACCGCAGTGGCGGACGGGGCCTATGGGCCCAAAGACGCTGTGTAACGCGTGCGGCGTGAGGTACAAGTCGGGACGGCTGGTACCGGAGTACAGGCCGGCGGCGAGCCCAACATTCGTTCTGACGAAGCACTCGAACTCGCACCGCAAGGTGCTGGAGCTGCGAAGGCAGAAGGAGATGGTGCGGGCCCAGCAGCACCAGCAACAACAGTTCCTACAGCACCATCATCATAATCATCATCACCATCATCATCATCAGAACATGCTGTTTGACGTATCGAACGGTGAAGATTACTTGATCCACCAACACATGGGCCCCGATTTCCGGCAGCTTATCTAGTAGGTGGTAGAGTAGGACTACTGCGGTGGACCTCCGGTAATTTAATTTTGTAGCGGAGTCATTATATGTTCATTAGACACTTCTAATTCCTTATTCGTTCCTTTTCTCATTCCGTTAGGGAATGTTTTTTCCCTGACGAGTCGGTTTTCGGTTTCGTAGTTTTCTCTCTTCGTCACTCTAATATTTCTTCTTGTGACGATCCTTCGATAATTAGGTGGGGATTATACATTCAATTTACCATCGCTTTTATTAGTATAATAATATTATTATATTAATAAAAGCGATTGTTAATTGAATATATATTTTATTTTTAACCGTTAAATCCTCATTTTTTTTATTTCTTTAACCCATTTTCATATACTGAGACTCTAAATTTTCCTATTTCATGTTTGTTTCTACGACTTTGTATTAATCTTTATATATATTATTGTTAATTTTGGTTTTTCTAATTCTATATTCGTGTTTAACTTCTAATTTACAATTAATTATAATAAATTATAGTTGTGCTAATTAGTGGTGTTGAATATAATTAAATTTTAATTTATTTATTTTTAATAACCGTTAGAATTCAAATATTATAATAAGCACAATGCTAATTTTACACATTAGCTATGGAAAATTATAAAAATGTAATTAATTTAAAATAAAAAATATATAAAAAAATAGTGTTACTACATAATTCAAATAAACTCTAATTTATTTGTTTACAAGACTAACGCCTTAATTATCATTTTCGGGGTTTTAAAAATATGATTAATTTATAAACCTATAGATAATTGAAACAGCTATAGAAAAATACAATATTTTCAGTTGAAACTTAGAATCAATCAAACATAAATTAAATTCAAAAATAGGAAATACTATTATACTAAAAAATAAGCATGAACAATAAGTGTTGTAGGTTTTTATTACAATATATAAGATATTTCCTCTTTTTCTACATTTTCTTAATCCTTTTTAAATTATATATATATAGAGAGAGTATTATGCTATATATCTTTAAATGAAAATTAGCTTATAAAAACAATAAATATATTTCCAAAATACATTAATCACTAATTACAATTTATTAAAAACTGTATAAAGTAAATACACACTAACTAATAACCAAAATAGGTTTAAAAGAGCATATTAGATAATATTGTATCTATTTTTATTATATTCTTTAAAATAATTAATTTTCAACTATTAATAATTTTAAGTCATCAATATGAATTTTAATTCAAAATTTATACAAATTCAATTTTCTATAACTTTTTATATCCTTGAATATGAAATTCTACCAAAAAAAAAATCTCTTAATGATTTTTCGTGTATAATTTTTTAAAATAATTTTTTTCGTGTAAATTTTCTAAAGTAAGATGCAAATTTTTCTACAATATTTGAAAATTTATTAATTCCTCAAATTCAATGGAAATTTCATAGAGATTTTTCTTTATCATATTTTCTCAACAAAGCTTTGAATGAAAATATAATTATATTTTTATATATTTTTTCAAAAAATAGATACCAATGAATTTTCATTTATTTATTGATTAACAAATAAATATATAAAAAGTTTACAATATAAGTAACCAAAAATAAGTTATAAAGGAAATTTTTTTAATATAGTAAAAATTAATAGAAAAAATTAATATTGAAATTATACCATTAAATATTAAAATTATATGTATAAGTTAATAATGCGAAGAAGAGAGAGAGAGAAAAATACATTGTTTTTATATAAAATTAAGAAGGATACATATTTACAATTAATTTAACATTATTGATTAAAACTAAAACACTAAAATCCTTTGAAGATATATAATATAAATTATTCAATTCAAATCATAAAAATAATTTCTTAATCTATGTATTTTTTTAATCTCTAACTGTTATAATTATTTATTCTTATCTACAATATTAAGAGTTATTTTCATTTAATATATATAAAGAGAAAGACAGAATATGAATATGACTACATGAAAAAATTTATTCAATTCAAATAAAAAAAATCTTGCCTTTGCATATTCACTGGATGTTTTTCTCATGGACAATATTAATATGGGTGGTTAAAAAAATTATTTAAGTGAAAATGCTTACTTATAAAATTAATTTCTACCACAAAATTATTTAAAATTCTTTGAAACTCTATTCTATTATGATTAGAAGGATAATTAAATTCGTATATTCTATTATTATTATTAGGATGATAATTAAATTCGTATAAATAAAATTAATCCGTTTTTATCTCAAATTTTTAATATAAATATAATAAATTAAAATATATATTTAATTAATAATAATTATAAATTATAAAATTAATTTATTATAAATATAATTATCTTTTTAAAAATAATATAAATGAGATAAAAAACCTAAAATTCAAAAGAGATAAAAAACCTAAAATTCAAAAAAAAAAAACTTAATTTCTAATCATTATAGAAGTGAAAGCGATGAAATTTGGAAAGGTAAAACTTGCCCCATTTTATAAGGTATATATATATTATCATGATTTGAACTCTAATATAGAATTTGTAAACATACGAAAATATGAATGAAAGAGTAAATTTGGATTAATGAAATAAGAATAGTGTAAATTAAGTGAAATCAACAAAGAAAAAAAAATATAACAAGCGAAGATCATTCTCTTATTAAATAGTGGATTCCATGCCAAATATGAAACTAGATTAAATGCATTATGCAGAAACTAACGTAACTTGTTTGCTATGACAAGAAGAATGTCAACAACAGCTTCGACAACTGCAGCATATTGTGTAAGCATGGAAGAATCATTATATGGAGGATCAGATGGTGATTCTCCTGAAATGCAGTCTTCACTATCTGTTAATATTGCAGATGCTGCCACATTCACACCAAGGTAGTCTCTTTTCTTCAACAACTCCTGAGAGTATTCAGCACTGTCAATGGCATCCTTGAAATGTCCCAAACATGACTTGTAATGGCCTTTTGCCTTGGTATCATGGGCACTTGCAATCAAAGATTTTATTAATGTGATTGTGTTGGTGATGTTTGCTCTTGCTGTGTCAATGGTGTATTGGGCTAGGCTATCAAGGTTTGCATTGGGTTTTGAGTTGAGAAGAGTGATACAAAATGAAGAGTTTCTGGTTTTCATGCAAATTCCTTTCACTTGCTCTGCAGGAATTGCATTGGAGGATGCAACAAATAAGAGGATCATCAAAACAAAGGAAGAGAAATAATGTGCCTTCATATCTTCTTATCTCTTACTTTCCCTTGATTTTTCCTTTTGGTTGAATGATGGTTTGATAATGCAGATAACACCTAATTTATAGTTCTCAATTCAAAACCAGACGTGCGCATTGAATTGAATGCAAATTCATTGATAGAGATATAAAATTTATTAGATTAAATGTACCGCTTGAATTTCTTGCTTCTTTCCATAAAAAAAATGTTTGAATATATTTCAATCTTATCAAATAATAAATTCATTCAACACTATATTTAGTGTAAAATTTATTATCCATGTATAGGATTGGTACATGTTTTGCTTTTTTTCAGGAACAAAAAACTAATTTGGCCATCAATAATAAATACATTCAATAATATTTAATATTTTCGATAAATATTGATCACTATTTTGTGCAAACTATTGAAATCCTCCACAGATAATCTAATGAATTAAAATTTTTTTGAGATGTAATGATTTGTTGCTTGACGTGCAACATATCTTTTATATCTTCACTATAATAACAAATACACTCAATAATATTAAATGCATAATTAATTAAATTATATTGAATTTAATAATTTTCTCATTATCATAAATAAGGAAAACATTTAATTAATTCTTTTAATCTTTATAAAATAAGAATATTTTTTTATTAATTTTTATTTTCTTTATTATTAACTTAATTTATCTTTCAATTACCTTTTTTTCCCTTAGTATTGAACTTTTTATCCTATAATTATCTTCCTCAATTAAATTTAATGATAAAATTGTCATATTAACAAATTTATCAAATAATGTTTTGTTATTTTTTTTCCTATAATAATATTAATATTCTATTTAAAAATAAAAATTATTTTATGTTATTTTTTCTATATCGGTAAGACCTATTATCACATTCAAATAATTATTTATTTAAAACTTTAATTCGGTGTAATTTTATTTTTAAATTAGATTTTAAAAAAAATTGTATATAACTATCTAGAATACAATTTCATTAATTTTAATTTATGAAACCTTTTTTACTTTCTAAATCTTTTTAAAGAAGAATGTCTAAACATATCCTTATCCTTGGCCTCTGAAAAGTAGTAGATACTACAAAATGAACGAAGGATTTTTTTTTTCTGTTCATGCTTCATGGTACGCATAACTCAATTGAATAGTTCAATTACATAGTCAGAAGTAAAAATTTAAGGATAGTTGATGATGAGATAAAACTGATATAATGAAAATGCATGTAAATCTATTATGTCAATATTATAGCATTGGCCTTTAAATTTTCCATTGCTGTTACAAGTAATTAGCATTAATCTATATCTAGCTGGTGTGTAGTGCTAGTGCAACAACCAACTTTCATTTTGAACTTACATGGAGTTGACAAAGATATAAGCAAAGCAGAACAAAATACAGGGCATGCTCTTTGTAAATACTTGAAATCAAGGGTAATCAAACTAAAAGCTCAGTTACTTTTGTTGAGAATTTAGTATAAAGGTCTGCTGGGTGACTTCCTTGGCTTCATCTGGCAAACTGCAAGGTCACCCAAAACCAACATTTTAATGTTAATAATAATTCACAGAATAAACACCATTGGAAGAACTAACATTGTTCAACTATGTATCTCAACTTTTCATTAACGTAATGTGGCTGTGAAGAAACCAAAAAGATAAAACTGAATTTGTTGTTTTGTTCCCTTTTGACTTGATTCAAGAGGACAGTACATAAAAAAAAATTAGTATGATAAAAAGAGAGAAAAAAGGAAACAGGAATAACCCACTTAAACTCTGCAGAGAAACTTCAAGAAAATAATTTTATTCATAGGAAAGCAGATGTACTGAAACAAATAAAAGGATTCTAAATGTATCTTATCATAATCATAATTAATATTTCTATACTAAAGATATTTTTATCTTAATTAACAGCTATTTACAACACTACGGCTCAAGAATATCAATCATTCCCAAGTTGCCTACAAGATCCTAGAAGCTGCCCACATAAAGTCCTTTAGCAAAAAGGTATGCTATCCAAACGCACACGAGTTGTAACCACAAGACCTCTATTTGAAGTGCACGTCAATTTTAATAGGTTTCATACTATTATGTTCTAGACGTTGGCCTTCTTTAGGCAACACACCTTGTTTCTTCCATTGACAACTTCAAATCTTGGGAGGAATCTCTATCTACACTTTCTCTTCTAAAGCTCCACAATGAAATGCAACATACAAGTGGTGTCAGTCCTAATCAAAATGAACTCACAAAGCAAGAAGAACACGAACTATATTCATCTTTGTCACTAGAACAAATCTCTTTTCATACTCAATCCCATCATTTTGAATGTAGCCCTTTGCACCAATTTCGTTTTATATATGTCTATTGGGTAAGCATTCTATAGTAAGCGGAGTAGTTATGAACCTGGTAGACCATCTGCATGGGTTGGTGAAAGGAGGGTCCCAATTGGTAGATAAAAACCCGCAACTCCTTGGGGTTGTCCTGTGCTTGGAAGAAGTAGAAAAAAGAAGAAATATAGTGATAATTTGATTATTTGTCGTCCCATCTGCCTCATGTTTCACTATGAATATCCATTTGTACCCTTTGATCATTTGGTTTACCAACAATTTCCTAGGTTTGAGGATTTTTTTTTTTCTAATGCATTTATCTCCTTTATCATAGCTTGACTCCAAGTCATATTCACTTTTCATGACTTCCTATACCAAGTTAGGAATTTATGTAGCATCAATGATAACAAAAAACTTCTATGTTTCTTAGAAAGAATGTTAGAGTAGACATGATGCGAAATAAGATATTTAACATGACCTTTTTCCTTCTATCAATGCAATGGTTAATTAACACTCACCTCATTGTAATCTCCAGTGATCCTCACCTTCATATCAAACAACTCTTCTTGTTGTAGAGTGAAAGTGGGTTTTTTTCCTCTTTGGTCATTGACCAAAGAATCTATCTACTTTATCTTTGTCCTCATTGTGGTTTGTTCTACTATCCCACTTGTGACTTCATCCCGTAGATCTTGGACATTCTATAAAGACAAATAAGGTAATGAAAGGAAGAGTGATTCCTCTAAAAGTGAAGGGCGAATAAAAATATATTGTTTCATGAAAAGTAACATCCATGGTGACAAAGACATGACAACTTTGAGGATTGTAACATTTGTACCCCTATTTGTTAGGTAGATAACCAATGAAGACACATTTAAGAGCTTTAAGGTCTCTTCTACTATGATAAGATTATGATTATGAACAAAAATAACACATTCAAAGACCTAACACAATAGATTTCATACTAAAGGAAGAGGAGGGAATACATGACAATAAAGACTTGTCGAGATATTTTAGGAAGTTTTAGATTTTATTACTAACACATCAATCCCACAATCTTAGGGATTTGTTTCTTAAAATAGGTTGTGCTTGTTTCATAATTTATCATATCAGTCTATATATATATATATATATCAAATGTATGTAAAAAGACAGAATAAGAGTGAAATTATTTTCTTCTAAACTTGAGATGGTATCAGAGCTCCTCAAGAGCCTTTGATTGTGTGGCTACTTGCAACCTTAATTGTTGTGTAAACCTAATCGCAGTCTTCATTGTTGCATGATCTGACTTCCATTGTTGTGCGTCTCTGATCAATTTTTCCTTTATGCCTTAATTGCACATAATTGTAATGGCTGAAATGGAAAATGGTGACAAGACTCACAATGAAGGAGAATCTATCTAACTCAACCATGAGGAACTAGAAAGAGTAAGGTCCTTCCTAACTATGTTTAGAAAACCCACAAGTATGTGTTCATTGACATATTATGGTAAGTTACCATTCTATGTAGGTTTAATGTCTCAAATACGCCCTTTACCCACTATTGGATTTTAGACTCTAGAGCCACAAACCATATAACACCCCTGCCCAAATGCTTTTCCACATATTCCTCATGTCCTAACAACAAGAAAATTTCCATAGCTGATGGAAACATGATAACTGCAACCAGTCAAGGAGATGTCCAAATAAACCCAACCATAACTTTAAAAAATGTTCTACATGTGCCTAAATTGTCTACAAACTTGATATCTATACAAAAACTTACCAAGGATCTCTCATGTAATGTGGTCTTTTATAGCAACTCTTGTATATTGCAGAACAAGAAATCAAGGAGGACGATTGAACATGGAAGATATGAATCAACCCTTTAAAAATCAATCTTTGATAACTGAATCCATTGTTGTCTAAAACATCCTTCATTTCGTGTTATAGAGCTATTGTTTCTTTCCTTGTTCAAAAATTTAAATCTGCAACGTCCTCATTCTGAGGTATGTAACTTAGCAAAACATAAACGTGTGCCTTTTCCTATGAGTAATAAAATCAGTACTTCTCCTTTTTATCTTGCTCATATAGATGTGTGGGGTCCCTCTAATATTCTTAATATCTCAAGGGCTAAATGGTTTCTCACCTTTATTGATGATTGTACAAGGGTAACATGACTTTTTCTCCTTAAACACAATCTGAGGTCAGCCTTGCAGTTATGCAGTTTGTCATTGATAAAAAATCAATTTGGGGTTACGGTTAAGAAACCTAGGTATGGTAATGCTAAAGATTATTTCAATCATACCTTAAATTCTTTTTTTTCAAGAAAAAGGGATAATCCATGAATCCTCATGTGTTTACACATCCCAACAAAATGGAATTGTTGAACAAAAAGATGGGCACTTGCTAGAATAAACCAGAGCACTCCTTTTTCAAAATAATGTTCCAAAATTTTTTTGGAGGGAAGCCATACTTATTGCCACTTATTTACTTAATAGGTTACTTTCAATTGTTTTGTCATTAAAAAGTCCAATGGAAGTGTCAACGAAGTTAATTTCGTAATTTGTCAGCTTTGATTGCCAAATTATTTAGTCATCAAAATCAATTGTAATTGTTATTCTCTTTTATTAGGATATATTGTAGTATAGTAATTGTATTAATTGTATATATGGTTGTTAGCTAATTTAAAGGGAAAGGGACAAAATATTAGTTTGCATTAAATATATATATGAGAGAATTCTCCACGAGGGGAACACACAGTTTTACCCACACATTTTCTATAGTTTAACATGGTATCAGACTGGATTACGATCCTCATCTAATCATGTCTTTGTTTCGCGAATCCTAGCTTTTGTTTCTTGTTCCGATTCCAATCGGTATCATGTCTTTCGAGAAATATGAAGTTTTGTTCATTCGTCTTAATGACAAGAACTACTCCGCTTGGGCATTTCAATTCGAGATCTTCGTCAAAGGAAAAAATCTTTGAGGTCATGTCGATGGGAGCACATTGGTTCCTAACAAAGAAATCGAGAAGGACGCTCATGCCAAATGGGAAGTCCACGATGCTCAAGTCATGGCTTGGATCATTGGCTCTGTTGATTCTACCATTGTTCTCAATATCTGACCTTTCAAGACAGCAGCTAGCATGTGGATCTATCTGAAGCAAATTTACCATCAGAACAACACCGCTCGATGTTTCCACCTTGAACACGACATTGCAGTTTTGCAACAAGATAGTCTGTCTATCTCAGAATTTTATTCTCAATTCATGAATCTTTGGTCAGAATACACGAATATTGTTTATGAAAAGTTGTCCTCTACCGGTCTTGATTCTATTCAATTAGTTCATGAAACCACTAAAAGAGATCAATTTTTTTATGAAATTGAAATATGATTTTGAAGGTGTTCGTTCCAATCTCATGAATCGAGATCCCGTACCCGATTTGGATGCATGTCTTAATGAGTTGTTTCGTGAAGAACAATGCCTCCTCACACAATCAACTATGGAACAACAAAAATCCACAATAGTCCCTGTGGCCTATGCAGTACAAGGAAAGCCACGAAATCATGACTTGAGTGTTGTACAATGTTTCTGTTGCAAGAAATTTGGTCATTATGCTTCCAATTGTCTTCACAATTTTTGTAATTACTACAAAAAAGATGGACACATTCTTAAAGATTGTCCCACGAGGCCGCCAAGGAAATCTGCCACCGCTCTTACTGCCGTTGTTGGTTCTTCGATTCCAAGTCCTTCTGCTACAACAACTTTTGTTCAATAATCTGCTCTTGCCTCTAATCAAACCTTGACCCCTAAGATGGTTCAGCAAATGATCATCTCTGCATTTTCTGCTTTGGGCATCTCAGGTAAAAAAACATTTTATGTCTCCCCTTTGGTACTTTGATTCTAGTGCATCCAACCATATGACCAACAATTCCCAACTTCTTACTAATGCCACCAAATATTTTGGAAATCTCACGATTCATATTGTTAATGGAAATCATTTGCCTATAACAGATATTGGTGATATTTCTTCTTCTCTCACTGATGTCTTGGTCTCTCCTGATCTCACTACTAATCTCATTTCTATTGGTCAATTAGTTGATAATAGTGTCGAATTCTCAAAATCTGGTTGTCTTGTGCAGGATCAACGATCAGGGACGATGATTGCGAAGGGGCCTAAAGTTGGACGTCTTTTTCCACTTCATTTACCTTTGTCTTCCAGTCGTGGCTTACCTTTTATTTCTTGTAATTATGCTCATTTAGATTACCATATGTGGCATATGCGGCTTGGACATCCAAATTCACATGTTGATTTTGATTGCAGTTCTTGTAAGCTTGGCAAAAGTAAAATTCTACCATTTCCAAAACATAATCTATTGTCAGAAAATCTTTTGATATGATCGATAGTGATGTATGGGGGATAGCCCCTAATCCTTCTGATGCTAAATACAAATACTTTGTCACTTTTATTGACGATTATAGTCCTTTCACATGGGTCTATTTCTTGCGGTCTAAACATGAAGTATTCTCCACATTCAAATTTTTTCATGCTTATGTTCATACCCAATTTTCTTCCAAAATTAAAATTCTGCGATCTAATAATGGGGAGAGTATACATCTCATTTATTTCAGGAATTTCTGCAATCTAATGGTATATTATCTCAACGGTCTTGTCCTTCCACTCCCCAAAAAAATGGGGTAGCTAAACAGAAAAATCGTCATTTACTAGATGTTGTTTATACTCTTTTGTTGGAATCTTCTGTGCCCTCTAGGTTTTGGTGTGAAGTGCTATCCATTGTTGTTCATCTTATCAATTGTTTGTCATCCCCATCATTAAACAATGATTCTCCTTTCACTCAACTATTTGGCCATCAACCTGATTATTCCACTCTTCATACCTTTGATTGTGTGTTATGTTCATCTTCCTCCCCATGAACGTCATAAACTTACTGCCCAATCTGTTGAATATGTTTTTCTTGGCTATTCCTCTCAACAAAAAAGTTTTGTATGTTATGATCTACATCTTGATAGGATCCGTATCGCTAGAAATGTCATTTTTCAAGAATATAAATATTATTTTGCCACTCACCATGACTCTCCCCCTTCTCCAATTTCTGTTTTGCCAATGTTTTCTAATTCTTCTACAGACAAACCTCTCCTAGTGTATCAAAAACAACGTAAGACCATTGGGCCTCCTCAAGATCATTCCTTGGTAGCTGATCCTGTACCAGCAACAAACCCAATACCTTTACGTCGCAGTACCCGAGTCCGTAAGCCACCTGAAAAATATAGTTTATCCTTAACAGCAACTTTGTCCTCTGTTTCTATTCCTTTATCTTATAAGCAAGCAGTAGAGTATGAATGTTGGCAGAAGGCTATTGAAGCAGAACTCTTAGCACTTGGGATGTTATGCCATGTCCTCCCTCTACTAAACCTTTGGGCAGCAAATTTGTATTTTCCATTAAACTATGTACAGATGGATCAATTGATCGTCACAAAACTCGGTTGGTTGTACTAGGAAATAAATAAGAGTATGGACTTGACTATGATGAAACCTTCGCACCGGTAGCCAAGATGACCACGCACAATTCTAGCACTAACTGCATCTCAATCCTGACCTTTACATCAAATGGATGTCAAAAACGCTTTTCTTCATGAAAACCTCAAGGAGGAAGTTTACATCAAACTTCCTATTGGTATGCCTACACCATCTAATACTGTTTGTAGACTAAAATGCTCTTTATATGGTTTGAAACAAGCACCATGAGTATGGTTTGAAAAGTTTTGATCCACACTACTTGGTTTCTCCTTCACCCAAAGTCAATATGATCCATCTCTTTTTCTACAAAGGATTTGTCATACTTCTCGCTTATGTGGATGACATTGTGGTGACTGGTTCTGATGAAGAGACTATTTCTCGACTTCAAACATTGTTGCATTCCACTTTTCACATGAAAGACCTTGGCCGACTCAATTAATTCTTAGGTTTAGAGGTGCATGATGCACCTACTGGCATATTTGTAAATCAACACAAATATATTCAAGATTTGATTGCGCTAGCAAACCTCACTAATTCCACTCCTGTTGACACCCCCATGGAACTTAATGTCAAATTTCGAAGAGATAAAGGTAATTTTTTTGAAGATCCTACCTTTTATCGCAAACTGGTTGGTAGTCTTATATACCTCACCATCACTCGTCCAAATATTTCTTTTGCTGTCCACATAGTCAGTAAGTTCATGCAATCTCCTAGACATTTCCACCTTTCCGCAGTGCAACGAATTATTCGTTATCTCCTTAGCACTTCTCATCG